GGCAAAGGAGAAGTGCTCACTAACACAGATTTAGACAGATTTGTGAACAATATTTGAGAGAAATAGGCCTTTTGTGAACATAGAAAAAGTCTTAGATCTTTGATTTCAGCTCATGAAAAATGGGGACAAAAACAAAAGTGTTGCGTTTATAATTTTGTTCAGTGTATATTTTTTTTTGGTCTTGGAAATATTCTGTAATAGTAAAATTTTTAGGTGGAGCTAGTCTTTCTGGTATTATCAGGTAGTTGCTCGTGAGTTTGGGTTGAATGTTAAACTGAAATAAAGCAGCTGGTTTCAGATCCAGTGTCTGAAATGTAAGACTGACCACTTCGAATCAATTCCAGAGTAATATGATAAATCAATATGATTCTGAGCAACTCTACCAGACCTTAAAATAAACACTGTTCACATTGTGCTTTAGGAGTTGACCCATCTGTCATCATAGAGATGTTTTTTACTGTTATCAAAACAATGACGTTCCTCATAAGGATGTTGACGGTAGTCTAGGGGTGGGTGATGGCAAAAATATCATATCACGGTTTTTCTCACGATTAATGATTTTATCACAATTCTTTGTCATGTTGGTTTTACTATTTTGCAAGTTGTCTGAGCAGTACAGCCAAACTAATTTCCCTATTTTAAAAACAAAGCCTTACAAAGTAACAAAATATAAAATAAAAAAAGAATGGCTTATATTTAGGCAAAAAGTGGGCAAAGATAAAAATCTTTGTCGTTATTTTATCTATTTTATTAAAAAATGAGAACAAAGATACAGATTACAAATACACATAATATACAAATAAAACAAACTGCTTTATTTTTCAGGTAAAGTAGGTGTATTTAGCAGTAGCATTCAAGAAATTGCTTGAACAAATATAAAAATAAAACACCATATACACTTCACTGTATAAATTATACATTGATTCTTATTAAAGCAACTGTATTAAAGTTCTTCAGTCAAGAGCAGTGAGTGATTTTTCTCTTTGTGTTTTATTAACATTAAAGGGGTCATGAATTGAGAAATCAACTTTTACTTGAGCTTTTTATATATAAGAGGTCATTGTACTAAAAGAATATCCTGTAAGTTTCAGAACTGAAAACGTCCTTGTTACTGAAATAAAAGCTTTTATTGACACCAGGCCCAGCGAACGCCAGATCCTGGAATGTGCCTACCTATGACGTAATAGATAGGTTAAACACCGCCTCCACAGAAGAATATCAACACCTTATTCTGTAGCCCCGCCCACTGATTCACGCATGACATTGTAGGAAAATAACATAAGTGGCGCTAAACCAGATCGAGCAAAAAGATCGCAAGAACACAGTCACTGCATAACCTTCCTTCGGATTCAAATATTAGGAATGCGTGGATGAATTTTATTTTTAATGAAGTTCCAGCTCATGCGAGTAAAAGATTGAGCGTTTGTTCGTTTCATTTC